GAAAGAAAGAAGAAAATAAAATAAAACATTAATTGGATGACAGAAATTATCACACAAGTGCAGAAGTTTTATCACCATTCATACCTTGAAGGATGGTGGGTTGGCTGTAAGCCCCTGGACCTCTGGGCTCCTCAGAAATTTATATGGTTGCCTAGACCACGCATGAACCATTTCTCAGAAGGGATCTGACTACACATGCCCAAAGATGTGGAAGAGGGTGAGCTTAATAGCGAGGGGAAGACCCTGGGGTCTGTCTAGGACCAGTGGAGTACCTTGAAGTAAATGGTGTTAACCAGCACCAGGGCTGTGAGCTCATCGATGGCTCCCTGGGGGATGACGTCTTTGATGCGGCCTTCAGTCTTATTAGCTATCCAGTTGTTGATGGTCAGTCTGGACTGCTCTGGATTTTCCTAAAGAAAAACAGGAATAGCCCTGTCACCTGTGCACCTCAATGAGCCTTGAATTTCAGTTTCCGCCTGCAGACTGTATTATAGCTTGTGTGCTTCAGGAATCTCCAAGGGAATGTGACATGTACCATGCACCAACGACATATTTGAGCATGGTAGATGAAATGAAAAAGGAATTCCTTATACAACTTCTTTGTAGTACCATCTATAACAGAAGTTACCGTCTATAACATTGCTCTCTGAAGTTTTAAGTAAGGGTTAGTGTGCCAAGGGTTTTGATTTGTCCCCGGCCTCCATCAACCATTGACGAGTACGGGAGTGTTAATTTGGATCCTGTCTCTCTCCCTTCTCAGGATGAGTGGAGAGGACTCTGACATCTACAACTCACCTTGAAGTCCAGGGGCTTGAGCTTGGCTCCATAGACAACCTCACTAATGTCCTGGTAGGTCTCGTTGAAGGTAAGGGACTTGTCTCCAAACAGGCGGTTGGCCGCTACCAAGTTGGAGGACTTATTGGCTTTGCGATAGAGTCGACAGTTCAGTTTGGCAAAGAAGAAGTGGATCTGATCTGATGTTTTCTCCGAGATGGTATCAAATTTAAAAACCTACAGATGACAAAAGCCAACAGTGGGAGGTGTGATCGGGCAGCCCAGTCACCGTGGGTGCCAAGTACAAGGCTGGACCAACAGCTGTCTCAGCGGCTAGTTCCCTCCAGTACAAGGCTGGACCAATGACTAGTTC